TGCTTCCCCGCTTGCAACACCTCTTCCCCAGCTATGAAGAGTTCCTTCTGAGGCAGGCGGCTCGCTGTGGGTTCGAGGCCAGCCTGGTCCCCAGAGCGAGCGCCAGGACAGGCTCCAAAGCCACACGGAGAAACCCTGTCTCGAAAAAAAGAGTTCCTTCTAACTCAACGACCACTCCGCCTCGATCCCTGTTGGGACACCCCTGTGTGTTCCCTTCTGCCTCCCTGCAGAGAGGCGGCAGGCACCCTGGGCACAGAATCTCGCCTGTCGTGCCCATCATTTGGGTCCTGGCACCGCACGGTGCATGGCGCCGTGTGGGTAGTAATTTGCTAAGTAAAATTAAGACCTGGGAAAAGTGACTTAGGGACCTAGCCTTAAAGAGTTCTCTTAGTATGTATTACTTTTATATTTTGAGACAGGATCTTGCAGTGTAGGACGGCCTGGAATAAACTGTAATCCAGACTGGCCTCAAAATTTGCAACAATCCTCTTGCCTTAAGAGAACTTGGTTTTTTGGTATTCACCATTGCAAGAAACTAACATACATCCTTTATGAGAAGTTTAGCCAGGTGGTGGTGGTGGTGCTTGCCTGTAGTCCCAGCACTCAGAAGACTGAGGCAGGTGGATCCCTGAGTTTGAGGTGAGCCTGGTCTACACAGAGAAACACTGTCTCGAAACCACACCCCCTCAAAAACGTTTTTATTTTTATTGCCTGCATGTGCGTGCATGTCTGCAGGTGTCCACAGAGGCCAGAAAAGACATCTCTCCCTGGAGTTAGAATTACAGGACTTTGTGAGCCGCCCTGTATCTCTGCTGGGATCCAGACCCTGGTCCTCAGGGTAAAGCGGCTAGCTCTCTGAACTGCCCACCATCTCTATTTGGCTTAAAGTGTGTACTGACTGGTTTTTGTATGTCAACTTGACACAAGCTAGAGTCATCAGAAAGGAAGGAGCCTCAGCTGAGGAAATGCATCAGTGAGATCCACCTGTAAGGCATTTTTTCAATCAGTGGGGGAGGACCCAGCCCATGGTGGGTGGTCCCATCCCAGGGATGCTGGTCCTGGGCTCTATAAGAAATCAGGCTGAGCAAGCCAGTAAGCATCACCCATCCCAGAAGCATCAGCTCCTGCTTCTGGGATCCTGCCCTGTTTGAGTCCCTGTCCTGACTTCCTTTAGTGATGAACAGCAATGCTGAAGTGTAAGCCAGATAAACCCTTTCCTCCCCAGATTGCTTTTTGGTCATGCTGGGTCATCACAGCAATAGAAACCCTAAGACCACATACATTGTGAAGCCTTTAAAGAGGTGTGGTTGGTGGTGCACGCCTTTAATCCCAGCACTAGGGAGGCAGAGGCAGGCAGGATCTCTGTGAGTTCGAGGCCAGCCTGGTCTCCAGAGTGAGTGCCAGGATAGGCTCCAAAGCTACACAGAGAAACCCTGTCTCGAAAAAACCAAAAATAAATAAATAAATAAATTGGTGTGGTTTTGTTTGTTTGGGTGGCTGGGTTTTTTTTGTTTCTGTTTTGTTTTCCATTTGAATCAGGGTTTCTCTGTGTAGCCCTAGCTGTCCTGGAACTCTGGAGACCAGGCTGGCCTCAAACTCAGCAGAGATCCACTTGAAAGAGACAGGTTTTTGTTGCTCACTGTTCTTGCTAGTCCTTGTAGGGATCACACTAGAGCTCAGTGCATGTTAGCTAAGGGCTGCGCCTCTGAGCTGCACCCTCAGCCAGTAGAGGCAATGTTTGTGGTATTCAAGGGCACAAGCAGGATCTGATGGCCTGATGTAAACTCCAGCCCCTTGTCGGGCTGACATCCTTGACCCTCAGTTGCCTCGAATGTATTTGAGAAACAGTAGCTTCCACTGGGTTGGAATTTGCTGTGTAGACTGCCTAGAACTCAGAGATCTCCCTGCCTCTGCCTCACAGCTGGGATTACAGCTGTGAATCACCAGGCTTGCCTGGAGACTAGGGTCTCACCGTGTAGACAAGGCTAGCCTCAACCCAGCAATCCACCTGCCAAGTTCTGAAATTAAAAGCATTTGCCACCAGCTAGGGACCCATTTCTTTAAGTCTACCTGAAGCTATTACTAACTCTGCTTAAGACTTGGGTGTGTATTCATGACTACTTTTGAATTACCTTTTGTTGTTTCGTTTTTCAAGACAGGGTTTCCCTATGTAGTCCTGGCTATCCTGGAACTCAATCTGTAGGCCAGGCTGGCCTCAAACTCAGATCTGCCTGCCTCTGCCTCCCAAGTGCTGGCATTGATAGTGTGTGCCACTGTGGCCTGGCTATCTTTGATTAACTTTAAAGATGACTTCAGTTGTCAGGAGCCCATCTGATTCAGTTTCCCTAAATAAAACATTGTGACCTAGTCTAGGGGTCAGGAGCCACAGTGTTACCTTCTGTATGATTTACTTACTAGCTGAGCCCCATTCAGGTCCAGGAAGCAGACTGTGGGTCAGCCTTGTGGGTCACGGGGATGGCTCCATTAAAACCTGGGGTAGCAGAGCAAGGGACTAGATAAAGACAAGCTGCTTAACAAAGAGATTCAATCCTGGACCAGGGAGACACACCAATCAGTCAATAAAGTGCCTGCCAGCACCTACCCCACCCTCACTGCATAGAGACCTAGTTAGGATCTCCTGTACCCACACTGAAGCAAGTAGAGTCTGCTTCTAACCCCAGTGCTGGAGGTGCCCTAAACAGTCAGATCTCTGCAATTCATTGGCCAGCTAGTCTAGCCAATCACCAAACTCCAGGTTCAATGAAAGACTCAAAAAAACAAAAAAAAAATGCTCGGCATGGTGTATACACCTTGAATTTTGCACTTGGGAGGCAGAAGCAAGCGGATCTCTGTGAGTTCAAGGCCAGCCTTGTCTACAAAGTGAGTTCCAGGACACCCTGTCTCCAAAAAAAAAGATCAGTGGAGCAAGATACTCTTCAGTCAACCTCTGTCTTCCACATGAATCAACACAGCACGCACGAACACTCGAATTTAAAGCAAAGATGTGGTTCTGCTTACCCTAACATAAGCATACCTGTCTTACTTCTCTAGATCCCAAAGACAAAATTGACATTGGACTGCCTCCATCTAGGGTCATTCGGGCCCAACAGCTAAAGGAGCGGAAACAGTTTATCCGGGAGCTTCGAGCCAATGTGGAAGAAGAACGGGCAGCCCGCCTTCGCACAGGTGAGCATCCCAGGAGAGGGGCCCCGGGTGCACGCCTTCCCCACTGTATCCAAACTGCTGTTCCTCCCCAGCCAGCATCCCACTGGAGGAAGTGCGGGCAGAGTGGGAGAGGACCAGTGGTCCCTACCACAAGCAGCGTCTCGCGGAGTATTATGGCCTCTACCAAGACCTGTTCCACGGTGCCACTTTTGTGCCCAGGGTCCCCCTTCATGTGGCCTACGCTGTGGGAGAGGAGGACCTGGTCCCAGTGTATCATGGGAATGAAGTGACTCCAACTGAGGTAATGCTCACTGTACACTTCTCCATGCCGTCTATGCCCGTTCTGTGCGCTGCCACTGTCTTTGCAGTGGCCTCCATGTCTCTTGTCACATGGTCCTTATAGTTCAGATCTCAGGATGAACACCGGGCAGTCTATAAACACCTCTTTCCCTATCGGTGTCTGAGGAGCTGCCAGGGGGCCTGGTTTGAAGCAGTGTGGGCACTCCCTTCTCCAGGGTCCTGCAAGCTCCAGCCCTCTACAGAGAAACTCTAGCATGGTGATGGTGACCGCTCCCTTGATCTCTCCCTGCTAGGCTTCCCAGGCCCCAGAGGTGACCTATGAGGCAGACAAGGACTCCTTGTGGACACTACTACTTACTAACTTGGGTAGGTGTCAGGGGCCACCTGGCCTCCAGCCTCCCTCCCCTGCACCAAGAACCCAGGGATCTGGGTGGGGTGGACACTCCAGCCCTGGCTCGTTTTAAAGGAGGGTCTCTGTTTCTGTGCAGATGGACACCTGCTGGAGCCGGATGCTGAGTATGTTCATTGGCTGCTGTGAGTATCCGGGTGGGAAGCCAGCTGGGGGGGTTCTAAGAGGCCCTTGAAATGCTGGGCCTGGGATCAGAGTACGCACTTGAATACAGGTACAGGAGAGAATGCCAGGAGCGTGGTGTGGTGACACTCACACGCCTTTAGTCCTAGCGTGCTGGAGGCATAGGCGAGCAGATCTGGTGAGTTAGACCCTGTCTCAGAAGAAAAGGAAACAGTGAAGTAGCCCTGGTCAACCCTCACCAACCTTGTCATTGCTCTGACCTCTGTGCTCACAGCTTTCTGTCCTGTGAAACTGGTGATGTTGACACATGCTTCCCCTACCCAGGGGATGCGGTAACAGTCAGTGGAGAAACAGACCAGAAGCAGAAGCAGCTCATGGTGGCAGCAGCTCTACAGACACTCGGCCCGTGGGTGTTTCTGCCTGGAGCAGTCTGAGTGGGGTTGCCCTTTTTTTCTTTTGTTTGGTGGCCTCAGCTCTGAGCACAGGCCAGGGACAGAGGTCATGCAGGTACTCTGAGCTTTGGGATTCCTCTGTAATTGTAATTGCTGGCTTCTGCCTTGTCCCCTGGCCCCAACTTCAGTTATCCACCTATTAGCAGGGCTCTCTGGAGAGTTGTGGCTGGGCAGGGGTACAGTGGCTACCACAGCATCAGGCTAGGAAAGTGCCTGACATGACCCTCGGGCATGGAGAGCAAAACAGCCCAAAGGTGGTGGTGTGGCTTCCTGACCTAGATGATGGGAGGGCAGACACCCCCGTTCCCATTCCCTGAGTGAACCAGCTGCTTTGTTTGTCACTGCCGTGGTGGTCTTGTCTTGTTTCTGTTTCTTGCTTTTTTATTTTTTAGTCTTTTATTTGTTTGGTTTGGTTTGGTTTAGTTTTTGGAGATTAGGTTTCTCTGTGTAGCTTTGGAGCCTGTCCTGGCACTCGCTCTATAGACCAGGCTGGCCTCGAACTCACAGAGATCCCCCTGCCTCTGCCTCCCTAGTGCTGGGATTAAAGGCATGTGCCACCACATGCATGCCTGATATCTATATCTTTGGATTTCCTGGGAGTACAGGTGGTTATGAGCCTCCATGCAGGTGCTGGAAATCAAACCTGGGTCTTGTGGCAGAGCAGTCAGTTCTCTGAGAACTAACCACTGAGCCATCTCTCCAGCCCCTCTGGTTTCTGAACCATTTCAGCTCCCTAATATTTGGTGTGTCCCTGAGGTCCTTTGCAGTCAGTATGCTAGAGACTGTCAGGATCTGGTCCTGGGGTGATTCTCCCTCTAGGGTTCTCTTGCTGCCTCACTGGCCTGTCGGTTAATGTATACTTTCCTCCTACCAGGACCAACATCCCAGGCAACAGGGTTGCTGAAGGCCAGGAGACATGTCCTTACCTCCCCCCCTTCCCTGCTCGAGGCTCTGGCTTCCAGCGCTTTGCCTTCTTGCTCTTCAAGCAGGACAAGCCAATCGACTTCTCCGAGGACACCCGTCCCTCACCCTGGTAATCTATACTCCTGCTTGGACCCTGAGCCCTAAGCCAGCTCTCTGGATGGTGGCCCTTGCTTCTTCCTCCTCTTGGCGTAGGCCTTGAGATTGGCAGAAGTTTGTCATGCTGGGTGGGCTGCAGGGGCTTTCCGGGGCTCAGATGCTGCCCGTCTTGTCACAGCTACCAGCTGGCCCGTCGGACCTTCCGCACTTTTGACTTCTACAAGAAGCACCAGGAAGCCATGACTCCGGCTGGCCTGGCCTTTTTCCAGTGCCGCTGGGATGATTCAGTCACCCACACCTTCCATGAGCTTTTAGGTAAGGGCTTTCATTTTAGGGCTTTGGTGGTCTGGCAGGCCTGAGGGCCAAAACCTCTCCTGCCTTGCCTTTGCAAGCCAAGGTGGGCAGTTCCTAGCAGGAGTCCACCCCTGTCCCTTTACTTTTCTTGTAGACATGCGGGAACCTGTGTTTGAATTTGTGCGGCCACCCCCTTACCACCCCAAACAGAAGCGCTTCCCTCACCAGCAGCCCCTGCGATATCTGGACAGATACAGGGACAGCCATGAGCCCACCTATGGAATCTACTGAGAGGCAGAGTTCAGGTGACTCAGAGGGTGAGCTGGAAGAAAGTCACGTCTCAGGAGACCCAAGCCATCTGGAGCCCTGTCTGAGATGGTCCCTTGTCTCCCATCAGGACCAGGGCCTTGCTGGAAGGGGCTTCGATTGTGTGTGAATAAAGGAATTTTTCCTCGTGCCAATACATACACACCTGTGGACACCAGAACCCCTCTAGTGAGGCTGCAGTGCTCTGTGGGTAAGAAGAGGGCGCCCTGCAGCCTAGGAGCTGGGGATACACATGAGAAGTGAAATAAATGGAAGTTTCCTGTCCTGACCGCCCAGTCCCAAATAAACACACAGAGGCTTAATATTACTTAAAATGCTGGGTCAATAGCTCAGGCTTATTACTAACTAGCTCTTACATTTTAAATTAACCCATGTTCCTTATTTACATTCTGCCTGTGGCAGTACCTTTATTAACATGGCACATTCATCTCCTGCACCCTCTACGTCTGCTGGGAACTCCTCTAACTCCACCCTTCGCCATCCCTGTTTAGCTATTGGCCAGTCACCTTTTTATCAAACCAATCACAGTGACACATATTCACACAGTGTAAAGGAATATTCCACAGCAATAAGTTTTGTAAAAGAGACAGCCTCGGGTACCAGACTGTCTTCATGGAGGCACTCCTGACCTGGGCTGACCCAGCACCAACTTGTTTGGAACCTTAGCATTGTCACATTGGTTCCAGCCAAGGCCTGGAACCCCCACTGTGTGACTAGATGTCTTTCCTGCTTTGAAGGAGAAGGCCTTGCAGCAAATCAGCCCTTGGACCCCCATCTGCTCTGCTGGGCTGCAGAGAATGACAGTCACCCAATGAGACTGGGGTGCAAAAACGGTGGAGGGGGACACCAGGAACTCACCCAGCCAAAGGTTGGGTTGGTGGCTTAGAGGAGCCCTTGAAGAGGGATAGGTGTTTTGTTCAGGTAGCTGGGGTAAGACTTCAGAGGCCACGAGGGCCTGCAATAGTGAGACCTTATCAAATAGGGGTCTCAGCTGGGCGTGGTTGTGCAAGCCTGCGGGGGGAGGGGGCAGCAGATCTAAACCTGGTTCACACAGCCCCAGGACAGTCGGGGCTGCACAGAGAAACCCCACCTCGAAAAACAGACGAGAGAGAATACAGGTTCTCTGAAAAAAGGTTAAATGGACTTTAATGACCAGGAATTTCCACATCATTGTTTTAAAAGTACCAAAATTACACATTTCCCAGAGAAGGGAAAATAACCGCAGTACCTGAAATCCTGCTCCAGCAAAAACAAACAAACCCAGGGTCCGGGTCAGGAGCTTTAACCAAGTGTTACCAGGCTCAGTGCTGGACTTTCCTCCCTCCCTCGCTGCTCCAGAAATGACATCTCGTCGAAGCTAACGCCACATCCGCGAGAGGAGCTGAGGGCGAGCACGCGGGAGCTTGAGAAGGAACATGGAGGTGCCGGGGTGGAACCCGAGGGAGCGGCACCCGCTCCCAGCGCGTCAGAAGGCGGGCAAGGGTGACTTGGATCCCTGCCAAGGAGCGTTCTCGGCCACCGGAGGGCAGCGCCTGTGATGCTGGGCACACTGGTGTCTTCCTGGGCTGTGCCTCCTGCGCCCTTCCGCAGCAGTCGCACCGGCGCCCTGGGCGGCGCTTCCGCCATGGCCGCTCCGCTGCTGGAGGAAGACCTGGTGACTTGCCCCATCTGCCTGAGCGGCTA